TCTATAATTGGTGGCCAACATCCCGTTCCTGGGCAAGGTGCTAGAGCGGGTGGTGGCGGGACAACTCCAAGCACTCTTGGATGAAACTGATTATCTGGACCCATTTCAGTCCGGCTTCAGACCCGGGTATGGCACTGAATCTGCCTTGGTTGCCCTGTATGATGACCTGTGCAGGGAGAGAGACAGGGGGAGTGCGTCCCTGTTAGTTCTCCTGGACCTCTCAGCGGCTTTTGATACCATCGACCATGGTATCCTTCTGGATAGGCTAAGGGGGTTGGGAGTAGGAGGCACTGCTTGGCAGTGGTTCCGCTCCTATCTCGACGGCCGATTCCAGAAGGTGGTGCTGGGGGACTTTGGCTCTGCACCATGGCAGCTTTGCCATGGAGTTCCACAGGGGTCCATTCTCTCCCTCCTGCTATTCAACATCTACATGAAACCACTGGGAGAGATCATCAGGAGGTGTGGGCTGCGGAATCATCAGTACGCTGATGATACCCAGCTCTACTTCTCATTTTCCACCGATCCAGGTGAGGCAGTGCTTGTGCTGAACCGGTGCCTGGCCGAGGTAATGGGCTGGATGAGGGCCAATAAACTGAAGCTCAATCCAGACAAGACGGAGGTCCTGTTGGTGGGTGGTTCGGGCCTCGGGATGGGGGACTTGGGCCTTGTCCTAAATGGGGTTGCACTCCCTCTGAGGGACAGGGTTCACAGCTTAGGAGTGCTCCTTGACCCTGAGCTGTCTCTAGAAGCTCAGGTGATGGCGGTGGCGAGGAGCACCTTCCTTCAGCTTTGGCTGATCCATCAGCTGCGTCCCTTCCTGGAGAATGATTGCCTGGCGACAGTGACACATGCATTGGTAACTTCCCGATTAGATTTCTGTAACGTGCTCTACGTGGGGCTACCCTTGAAGATGGTCCAGATACTTCAGTTGGTGCAGAATAGAGCTGCCAGGCTGCTGATGGGGACTGGGCATTGTTCTCATATAACCCCAGTTCTCCGTCAGCTCCACTGGCTCCCAATTGAAGTCTGGGCCCAATTCAGGGTGTTGGTTATGACCTATAAAGCCCTCAACGGCTTGGGACCTGGGTATCTAAAGGAACACTTGCGTCCATATATGCCCTCCTGCCCCTTGAGATCTGCGGGAGAGGCCCTTCTCCGGGAACCCTCTGTGAATGATATTAGGAGGATGAGTACCTGGAGGAGGGCTTTCTCTGCGGTGGCATCCCACCTATGGAATGCGCTCCCCAGAGAGGTCCACCTGGCACCATCGTTATTTGTTTTTCAGCACCAGGCTAAGACCTTTTTATTTAAACTTATTTTAATTGTTAATTGATTTGTATTTATAGGATTTTAAATCTTTTAAGCCGAGATGCACTGGG